CTCAATGCGCTTTACATTGGAATACCCATATTTCAAAAACCTTTATTACTACTTCCTTTCTTCTCATGCAATATATATTTATGCACACACACACACACACACACACGTACATTAACACACACACACACACACACACACACACACACACACACACGTACAATTTCCATCCAGACATAGGCACAGAACAACTATAATAAAAAATAACGCTAAAAGCTTATGAAGGATAGGCCTGTTACTCTCTTGTAACACCTCTAATCTTCTGGCGCTCACATGACCTTATTGTGTTTGTTACTCTCTTGTAACACCTCTAATCTTCTGGCGCTCACATGACCTTATTGTGTTTGTTACTCTCTTGTAACACCTCTAATCTTCTGGCGCTCATATGACCTTATTGTGTTTGTTACTCTCTTGTAACACCTCTAATCTTCTGGCGCTCACATGACCTTATTGTGTTTGTTACTCTCTTGTAACACCTCTAATCTTCTGGCGCTCATATGACCTTATTGTGTTGCAGGTGCCATAAAACTCCTACTAAAACTAAACTGACTGTTTTTCCGTTGTGTCTCCTCAGGCAAGAAAGAAGCCATAGTCCCCCGTGCGTCGGTGGAGCCAGAGAAAGGCAGCCTCTCTCTGTCTCTCTGTCTGTCTCTGTCTCTCTTTCTGTCTCTGTCTCTCTCTCATCCGCCCCCTCTCACTCTCTTTCTCTCTCTCTCTCTCTCTCTCTCTCTCTCTCTCTCTCTCTCTCTCTCTCTCTCTCTCTCTCTCTCTCTCTCTCTCTCTCTCTCTCACACACACAAACACACTACTGCAAACTTTTCCTCGAACACATTTGTGCTTTTGCCATTTGCCGCAATTTGGTACCATGCATGTGGACTGGGATTGTCATGTTTTGTGGAAGGACTTACTACAGGTAATATTCATTATAAAAGCTGTGTTGTGGGTCTTTCTGATATGTGGGTGGTTCGCAGGTGCTCTTGTATGGTTTGCTTCTTCTTTCCCATCAAACACCTATTGTCTTTATCTCCCCTCCCCCTATTTTGTGTTTGTTACTCTCGTATAACACCTCTAATCTTCTGGCGCTCATATGACCTTATGCAGTTGCGAGCGCCGTAAAACCTCTACTAAAAACCTTGCCCACTGGAGCCCCCAAGTATTTTTTTAGGTTACCTGGGTCAGGCAAAAGGAGATGAAAAGTGATTAGTATGAGATTTGATCAACCTTTATTTACTTTTCCTTTCAATGCAAAAAGGTGTTGGTTTTTCTTTCTCTCTCTCCAGCTGGGGACGAGTACAGACAGGTGGTGGAGCAGCCTGAGACGAGGGCGGTGAAGAAAGCCATGGAGGCCGCCAAGCCGTCGTTTGTGGTGAACGTGAGGGCCGGGAACAACGTGGTCAGCTACATGGGGCCGGCAGACAGAGGTGAGTTCTGGACGGTGCGGTGTGTGTCGGTGGTGTGTCGGTGGTGTTGGCTGTGTTGCTGTCACTAGTTGGAATCAATATAATTTTTTATTGTAAGTGTTGCGAGTGCCGTAAAACTTCTACTTTAAAAAAAAAATGTTTTAAAAGAATTATTTCTCTGTTCCATCTTGTCCTAAAGAAAAATGTGAGGCAACGTGGTGAAATCAGGCGCTCGTCAAAATATTGAAATAGAAGAAATTGGCATTTTACTGTCCATTTGGCAATTTTGGTAGAATTTTCGTTTTTTGACTCAACATTTGAGGGTCCATTTAAAAAGACATTTCTATGAGGATTTTACTGAAAAATGTTGATTTAAAGTACAAAAAAGGAAATTTGCAGTATTTAAGGACTCTCAAGACTGGGAAGTCGCCAAACTTTGGCGGCCATTTTCTCGCTAATTTTATCTCTGAAACCAGGCGACTCCACCTTCTTCAATCGCCAATATCTTGACTTATTTCCAAGATAAATGGATATTTTTGCCATCAAAAGCAAAGCTAATGGACAAGTTTGAAGATGATAACTGTAACTCCATATGCTCCAAAATTGAGGAGGGCCTCTGATTCCCTCGCGTCTTGACACAAATGAAATATTTCTACGTTCCATCTTGTCCTAAAGAAAAATGAAATATTTCTACGTTCCATCTCATTCCCAGCGGTGGCCAAGGCTTTCGTCAACAGCCGAGATGTGAGCGATAAAGACAGCGCTGGCTGCGGTAAACAGACAGGTGAGTGTCTCATGCCATTGGTCGACTTGATTAATAGATAGCACCAGCTGGGCCCCCGTTCGATGAATGGATTGAGACAGAAGCGTGTTGATTGTTCCCAGTAGCAAGAAAAAGAATTTGACAAAGGAGTCGAGAAAAAGCGATGATGGGCATCAAAGGAAAGGATCACAGTCGAATTTAGCACCAAGTTAAAAAAGAAAACATGAGGCTAGATCTATATGTGTCGCACACTTAAAATAGTGCTCAGTATTGCGCGACAATGCGCGATAGTATCGAAAGGAAGTACGACTTGAAATAAACAAACCTGGCGGGTTTTTTAAAATTACAGAGACAGAAGCGTCGGCCTACAAAAGCGATCAGCGAAATAAAGAAATTTAGCTTTTTGCAGCAAACTGTCTCAAAACTGAAAAAACGAAGGGCGTCATGATCTGGAGAATATTTTAAAGAATCTTTCAGCGAAAACCGTAGGTCGATCGTTGCAGCCATTAAAAAGCCTTTTGAATAGCAAAATTCGGCCACCCCAAATAGATAATAGATTTGTATAGCGCAAATTTACGCTCAACAGCAAGCTATATATGTGCTTGACAATCTGTACTATTACCCCAGCAGACCTGAGAGCATTCTGAAACAACCTCAACTTCCTGGGAAGCATACAGTGCAAGCAGCCATTTATAAGCACTAAAACACTAATATACTGACAAGATCTTTCGCTGCCTATGGCTGGGTACCCATTCCCACCTGGGTGAAGTGAGGAAAATTCGTGTAAAGTGCCTTTCCCAAGGACACAGCGTCGGGCCCGCGGCTCGAACCAGAGAACCCGCAACCTCACGATTACGAGTCCGGCAGCCTAACCACTAGGCCACTGACGCCACTAGTCACTGATGCAGGATTAGGAAAGAAAAAGCAGCAGTTCCCTGTTGCAGTTCAGGCACAGTTATGAGCATGACATTGATGAGTCTGCCCATTTACAATTACAATTCTACTGTGCACAATAACTCGAGATGTTAATGCCCCCCCTTTGAGAATAGCCTGAAGAAAGACATTCAGTCAGTAGCACTGCCCCGGGTGGAGGGGAGGGGGGGGGGAATAACCTCCTGCATGTCTCTCCTGGAGTCAGTTGTTAGGGACTGATGGACTGACTCTTTTTCGTGGGTGGTTGGCGGGTGCTCTGGTGTGGTTTACTCCTTCTTTCCTATAAAAAAATCTATTGTCTTTATCTCCCATCCTTCTTTTTTATGTTTGTTACTCTCTTGTAATAGCTCTAATCTTCGGCACCTATATGACCTTATTGTGTCGCAAGTGCCGTAAAACCTCTACTAAAACTAAAACTAAACTAAAACATCTATCGTCTTTATCTATCCACCTCCTTTTTTATAAAATGATAATAATGTATAACATTTATATAGCGAATTTCCAAAAAAGTAGCTCAATGCGCTTTACATTGGAATACCCATATTTCAAAAACCTTTCTTACTACTTCCTTTCTTCTCATGCAATATATATTTATGCACACACGCATGCACACACACACGTTCATTAACACACACACACACACACACACACACACACACACTCACACGGACTATTTCCATCCAGACATAGGCACAGAACAACTATAATAAAAAATAACGCTAAAAGCTTATGAAGGATAGGCCTGTTACTCCCTTGTGTCACCTCTAATCTTCTGGCGCTCATATGACCTTATTGTGTATGTTACTCTCTTGTAACACCTCTAATCTTCTGGCGCTCATATGACCTTATTGTGTATGTTACTCCCTTGTAACACCTCTAATCTTCTGGCGCTCATATGACCTTATTGTGTATGTTACTCTCTTGTAACACCTCTAATCTTCTGGCGCTCATATGACCTTATTGTGTATGTTACTCCCTTGTAACACCTCTAATCTTCTGGCGCTCATATGACCTTATTGTGTA